GGAGACTCAGAATGTCACTGTCAGTCCCCAGCTTTTCTATGCTGCTTCTCATCGGTGAACAGTGCTTAGGTGAACACATGGGATGACACATTAGAAGTGAAGTGACCTTCCTATCTGCTAACATTTTCCCCTCCTTAACATCCTACATCCATTGTATTTACTGTAAATACCAACCCTAGATGATTTATATGCCCTTTATAGGTTTTTCCTACACTTATAGAACCTTAAGAAATATGATAGTTTTATATATATAATGAAAAATAACAAGCATTATGGAATATAAAATTAAATATCTACTCACCACACAGTAATTTCCATTTTCCAGATCTGAATAAGGAGAGGGAAGGAAAACTTGTTATTCCATTGCACAGAAATATAACTTTACCTTCTTACAAATACTATAAATGCATTCATAACTTCTTTTGTACATTTTCATATTTAAGTTTAGAAAATTTCTCCCCATAAAAGGTTTAAAGGCAGAGGATTTAGCTCAGTGGCACCACCCCTGCTTCCCAAGTGCAAGGTCCTGACTTCGATCCCTGTACCCCACAAAAAAAAAAACACCCTACACCCCTGGAAACTGCAAATTTATTTTCTGACTATAAGGCATTGTGTATGGAACCATCTTCCCTGTTTGCTTCTACAGGAATTCCTATGCCAGCCAACGGGATTGTTTCACTACCTTAAATCCTACATGGGAAAGTTACCAGGTGGGCCTGCTTAATGAGACAATCAGCATGCCCCAGAAGCCCCTCCCACTGGGAGAAGCAGGATCATTTCTGCAACCTTCTACACCTAGGCTCTGGTCCCAGACCCAGGTGGGCTGCACAGAGAGCTGCTACCCTCACCTGTTTCTCCAACTCTGGCTGTCTCTGGCAAAGATGGGTCAAGCAGGAGATATCTAGGCATCAAACGACACAAAACTCTTCTTTCCCCTTTTAGTGTATTACACAGTCAAAAATAAAGTGTTAGAAGACAGGGAATGTGCACTAGTCCTTCTGAGGATGAGCTGTGCTTAGTGCTCCCATCCCAGACAGGCTGCTGCTACCACTGTCTTGCTGGTGGCTTCTCTCAGAGAAATGACTCTCTGTGCCTGTAAAATGAACAAGGGTTGAGGTGAGAATGAAAGGAAGTAGTATTAGACTGATAGGAACATTTCATAGAAACAGCCAAACTGACCTGCAAGGCAAACCAAAGGCAGCCTGAAGCCCAGGTGCAAGTTGTCAGTTTTCCTGCACCTGGAACAAAATACCTGACACCACCTGCTTATAGGAGAGAGTTACATTGGCTCAGTTTCAGTGGATTCACTCTATGGTCAACATGCTTTACACAGAAAGGGTATGGTGGAAGGGCCTGGGGGAAGAAAGCCATTCACGTAATAGCAGCCAGGAAGGAGAAAGCGAAGAAGGAAGAATTAGAGAATACACCCTTTAGGTTGAGCCCCACCTAACTTACCTCAACCTGGCCTCAACTCCTGGTGACAAATTTAGGCAAGAACTTGTCAATGGATGAATACAGCTCTCTCATGATCCAATTACCTTCCAAACCCCCACCTCTGAACACATGAGACTTCTGAGGATCATTTTAGACCTAAACCATACAAGTGGGGAAGCTGTGGAAAGGAGGCTTTTCTGCAAGAACTGAATCCTTTCAGCTGCTGTCCAGCCAGAGTGAACCTAGCTCCAGGAAACCCTAAGCCCAACCCTTGACCCATACAAAATAGTTTTTCTCACCTTCCTTTGAGAAAACAAGAACCTGAGGAGCTTCAGAGTGGCAACCATTAGAGCAGCAGGCACCACGTGTCACATTCGCCACTACTTGTCACATTCACGGGTGCCTTTTTTTCCTTTACTAAATCCATTCTCTCCTCAGTTCTATGAATTGGCAACTCTTCCTGCAACTTGACAGATGAGAAGTAAACTTGCCCAGGATACACTGCTGAATGACAGAGTTGGAGTGGAGGCCAAGTGGAGTCCTAAATCGTACTGCCAAACTGAGTCACAAAAGCCCTAAAGGGGATGCAGAACAGCTCATTTTGACACTAATGATCTAGAGCTGGACTGTTTAGCAAGGTTGCAGGGTGCATGGAGTCACGCTCAGGGCCTATGGCTAAGGTGGCTTTGCCCAGCACCACACACGTGTGCAGACTACATAAAGCCCCCAGGTCACGCTAAGCCTCCTGGTCCAGGGTTGTCACCTGCACAGCTCCCACTGATGCAGATCTACTCAGGATACTTTGAGAACTGTCAAAACAGGACATGTTCACTAACAAACACCACAGCATATTATAAATGGGCTGAGGTTTCTATAAGGGGCAACTAGGTAATTCTACCTGGAGAGCACACCAAGCCCAGCCTGAGGATCATGGGCAGAGGCTCCACAGGACTGTTCCTTGCTCTATGTCCAAGTCTCCTGCACAGCCTTTGCTGGGCAGTAAGGTCACAACAGCAGTTAAGAGTTCAACTTGTTGCTTTCTGTGCTTGGTTCAACTGCTGAATCCACACTGATCCCTTAGCAGTTTGGCTTCCCCTCTCACACAATGGTGTGATTTTGGGGTAGACAGTTTTCCTGTATACGGTGCTTTCATAGGGCAGTTAATTCTAACAGTTTGGTGATTTATCTTGACTCTTCCCTCAAAGACAGTATTCTCAAGGGAGCTTTGGTAAACAAGAGACTGGTAGGGACTGGCAAACCCGCATGGCCACAGATGGAAAGGTCCAGGACTCAGAAGTAAGTGGTCGAAGGTCGACTAGAGGTATGCTAAGATGCACATCAAGTGGGATTAAATCTAGTGGAGCAGTAGCTCCTCCCTGCCAAGAAATTTTCCTGTGCAAACCCCAATAAATGTTACTTTATTCCAGAAAGAACACTTGCAGAAGCTTTAAGGTGGGAGCATACATCCCATGTGAAGCTTCCCACCAAAGCTTATGTTCACCCACTACGAGTCTATGCCCTAATACCCAGCATGTCCAACTTAACTTCATCATCCCTGGAGACTGAGTTTGCTCAGACTAACAAGAGTTCTTCCCAAACTTCTATGGGAGTATGGGATTTTGGGATATGAGATTCACTTTCCATTGTTTCTTTCAACCACACTGATCAAAACTGGATGCCACCACCATCTTTTTTTTTTTTTTTTTTTTTTTTTTTTTTGTACTGGGGTCAAACTCGGACCTTGTATTTTCAAGGCAGGCAGCAGAACCACTGAGCTAAATCCCCTTTAAACACAATGCTCCTAAGTGAGGAAAGAAGCAATTGCACATGGCCAGCTCAGTAACAGGAGGAAGCCTCAGCAGAGGGATAAGCTGGAGAGATGGAGCCATCCTTTCAGATCTAACGCAGGTACAAGATGGCTGCCACAGAATACCACCACCATACAGAAGGGATGTATGGGGACCCAGATGCATGGGTATGGACGTCGTGCCTTCATGTCTCCTGCATCCAACTTTCTACCCTTGGAAACTGAGGTGCCCCGGCTCTAGTAACAACAGCCTCCTCCCAAGTTCCTACGTCTGACTCTTTTTGGTCTGGTTATTCCTCAGTGGAGGGGACGGTGTGAGGCTCTGGGAGGAAAAAAAAACAACCAAAACTGTCAAGAATATACCTTCAAGTCCAGTATAGGGTACAGGTAACAGTTAAAGCAGATTCTTATAGCAGAATAGCCAATTAGCAAATTTACTGATAATTCTTTATATTTGAGTGGTCAATAATTTTCTAGGTTATGACTTGAATATAGATGCCAACACACTAATGTGTGGAGTCGTCCTTTTACATTTTTAAAAATATATATGAAAATTTAAAAATACTCATGGAAACATTAAGCACTTGTTTTTTATTGCTGTAACCAAGGCAAAAATCTCTTAAAACAATCAGCCTTGATAAGGGAAATAGAATCAGAAGCAGTACTCACAAATTTGCAGTTCATTCTGTTATTGAGATTTCACTATTTCACACATACCATCTACCACAAGACCTTTATTATACGGGAGGAAAGAGCAAGCTTGGAAATTCTCAAGTGCAGCTTATCCACTTGCCTAGTTCATGACTTCAGACCAATCACTTACCCCTTTGAACCCATTTCAGCCTGTTTTTAAAAAACACGGCAAAGAAGGGGCTATAACAAACCTGCCTACACTGAGGATCAATTGAGAGAACATGGGTGGAGTCACAGTAAACTCTAAAAGTTATACAAAATACAGTATCACTAATGCAGTGGGGAGGGCTCATCATGGAAGTCTAAGTTTGTGAAAGCCTGCACGACAGTCATCCAGAATTTTCAATCCTGGGAAAGGACAAGGGGAAAAGGCTATAAATAATCAAGTCTCCAGGCTCAGTAAAGAAGTATCTGGCTTGACAAGCCATGTGATATGAACCCAACTATAACCTAGAAACACTGTCAGTTTTATTTTACCTTAATATACATTTATACAGGCAATAATAAAAAGGCTAACAATAATTCAGTGAGTTTTACCTAGTTTCAAGAATAGTGCATGCAGTTACAAATTGAGAGGTAGAAACACTGTATTAAAGACCTAAAAAATACAAACATTATATAAACAAATGTTCAAATTAACTACAGAAATTTCATACAGATAAATAAGGTTAAAATTACATCATTTTGTCAAAATAAAAGAAAATCATGTTTGTCGGTTTCTATCGGTACACTTATGCCAAGAGTAATGCCAAAGAGCTTCTCTGTGCAACTGTCAGAGTTCAGATTATTTTAGGTAAAAGGACTAAACTAAAAGGATTAAAATTGGTAAAATGGTTTATTCAAGTATTCAAGCAGGTAAGTAAAAGAAACCAAATAATATACAATGTAGGAACTGTTCCCAGTGGGGTAAGTTAACTGCCTGCATTCTCTATGTCTAGCTATTTGGTGAACTGTCAGGATTAATATTAAAAAATATACATTAGGCCGGGTGTGGTGGCGCATGCCTGTAAGCCCAGCACTCGGGAGGCTGAGGCAGGAGGATCGCTCTGAGTTCAAGACCAGCCTGGGCTACATAGTGAATTCCAGGTCAGTCTCAACTATACAGTGAGAACCTGTCTCAAAAAAACAAAACAAAACACATTAGGCTGGAGACAGCTGCCCATTGTCCTAAGAGAAAACACACTTCCTTTTCAGTAACTTCATGTAGAAACTCCACATCACTAACAAGTCTTTAATAACCACTTTGTTTTGACCCTATGGATATTCTCAAGAGCATCTTTGCATTCATGATAGTTTTTCTAATACTGACCAAATAAACCTAAGGTCACAGGCATCAATGCACATTCTGCATGCACAATAAAAATGCAAATGAAAGCAAACAATCAGCAACTCAAAGTATTATTGAGATCCATTGGTGTCAGTAAACAGGTAAAAACAATGCAAAGGTTCACATGAACACAAGTTTTGACCACTGAAAGTTCAAGAGAGACTATACATGAATTCTGGAAAGGGTGTATGTATATAATCAAGTAAAATATTTTAAACAAGTCCATTGTGCCTCCATTAGTTTTAAACTACAAATCCAATACAGAGTTGTTCTAATAAATTAGTGCAATATGAAAGATTTTGGAAGATTAGTATGTGTCCATATTAGGTCAAATGGAAGATTTCAAAATTTCCTCCAATAGCCATCTTTATCTTCTTCTTAAACTATTTCTTCCTGAGCTGTTTGAAGATATGTGCTCAGATTGAGACAAACTCACGCCAAATATCAAACTGCCTGGTGAGGTGTAGATTCCTTGCTTGTATACACCTCAGCAAATTAAGAAATTTTACACAATGCTCTGTGAACTGGGCAGAACACCACTCTCTTTCATGTTTAATTATCTGTTAAGAATAACTGTAGTCATAAATCCAGTTGAGAGTACATTTATTGTACAGGTTCAAACTGGGAGCCAAGTGGAATACTTTTACTTCTGCTTCTACAAAGTAAAAAGGGAAAGGGGAGTGACTTCTCCAGTAAGGCAGATTTTTTATAATGTAGTTTTTGGACTGTTTTCCTTCTTGAAACTGCTTATTCTTTGGTAGTCACAAGTTAAGAAGCCACAGTTTTCTGGGGATGGGTGACAGGACTGAGCAGTAATCCCATACGTATCACCTCATGCTCCCCATACTGGTCACAGGCGAGCTGGCTGCTCATATAGTCCCAGTGCTGCAGCAGAGTGCGGACAATCTTCTTTCAATACTGGATTTATCTAGAAATAAAGTAATAAAAAATTAAATTAATAATAAAAGCCAAGGAAAGAAGAACTACGGAGAAAAACAAATCACAAACTCTGCTGACATCATCTCAATACTACCTTTGCCCCAAACTAACAGAAAGTGAATACTTTTTCCTCTTTCTGGCTGGTTACAGATTACGTATGATTTCTAGTAAGTGCTAAATAGATAATCATGCCACATCGAGAACATTTAGATTTTGACATTTAGCTTGCTTACAAAAGTGCACATAATTTTAGTATTGTCTACACTGAATACAGTATAGGTTATACTGAATGTAATATAGGCTACACTGAATGTGGCAAGACCAGGTATACCTTAAGACACCCACCACTCCCTCCCTCCTCAAAAACAAGATTACTGTGCTTGTATTTGATAAGTAGTAATACCATCCTGGTATGCTCTCAGTCTCCAACTGCTCTCTACACCAAATCTGTAGAACATAAGATCTTTATAGAAGTTTTTAAGTCACTAAGCCCAGCAGGCTTTAAATAGTTGTATTTAATAATAAAAACAATGTTCTCTTATATATACCAGCACATATTTGCCAACAAAATAATATTTAGGAATCTTAAGACTAATGACAAAAGAAATTCTTGTTTGATATTCATTTCTAATCCTCACAACTCTGCAAAATAGGCACCATTATCCCCTTTCTTAGAGAAGAAACTAAGACCACATAAAGATTAAGTAGTTTGCTCACGTATGGAAAGCCAAGATTCAACACAGGCTATATGATTCTAAACACTATAAACTTTTTACTACACTGACAGGAAACAATTAAATTGGAATCAATAAACACCACTTATCCTCAAAGGATATGTCCCTAGATGTCCAGTGGATGCCTGAAACCATGGATTGTAGCGAACTCTATCTGTAAGTACTGCAACACCAAGACAGTAGCAAATCTGGTAACTGAGATGGCTGCTAAATTGGCAGGTGATATATACAGCATGTACACTGGAGACAACGGCATGAATCCCAGATGGGGCATAACAGGACAGCTCAACATTTCATCATGCCCCTAGTCAGAACACAACAAAATTTCTAACTTATGGATTGCTTCTGGAAATTTTCATTTAATATTTTTAGACACTGGCTGATATTGGGTAATGGAAAACTGCAGAAAATAAACACAGATAAGGAGAAATTATTGTATACATCAGCTTACATTTATGTACATTTTCAATATCTGCAGGGTCCTGTAGAATCTTAGTAAGGCCTTCCAAAAGAAGGGCTGCCTTATGGTAACGATAAACAATATCTTCTGTCTGTTGAAACATCTCATCCAGGGCAGCAGACTGAACCTGGAACCAGTCAATACAAATAAGATTCTCAACTTTTCCAAGAAAAGAGTAGTTTATTGGGCCAATACAGCCTTAAACGGCTTTAAAATTAACACATTTTAATGAAATTATATACTGTGTTAAACTGTGTGAAACTTGAAAGATTCTTCACAATGAGCCATTATAAAGAAGCAGCTTTTTAACAAAAGATCTACATTTCAACACAGGCTTCTGGTATGCAGGATTATGGTTTAAATTTTACATCACAACCCTTCTAAACTGACTCTTCTATGACTTCATCAAAGAGTTTATTTTAAACATATGCTTTCACACTGGGGTATCCTAGCATTTCATTAAAATACACTTTGTTACAATATTATGGTTAAATTATGGTGAAAAATCATGTTCACTTATTTTTCTAGTCAAAGAATTTTCAGGTGTCATCTTCATTTATTTGTTCATTCAGAGATACTTACTGAGTACCGAACCTACTAATGTGAGGCACTGAACATACCCTGAGACAGTGCTCACAATCTAAAGGGAATCTAAAGGGAAAAACATTCAATTCTAAATATAAGGGGAACATGTTACATGGGAGAAAGCATGGATAGTATGGATTATGCATCCATCTAACCCTAACTATGGAAAGAAGAGATTATAGGAAAGACTCTAGGAGCTGATGTTTAGCCTGAACATTACCAAGGGAGCAAGAGCCAAGTGATGGAAAAGGTAAAGACAAGCTTTCCAGAAAGAGAGGACAATTAAAGTATTCACAGCTTTTCCCAACAGAATTTTGATTTTCTCTTTAATCATTAAATGCCAGAACTCTCAAGAATTCAGCATCTTAATTTACTTGTTAGCATGTGTTCTATTTCCTTTAAAAAAAAAATAAAATCACTTAAGATAAAGTTAATACATACAGAAAATTAGAGCCATGAAACAAAAAAAGGGAAAGAATAAATGTAATTACTGATATCTCTAAGCTTGCTAAATAGACACAGCATAAAGAAGAACCTACTGAAATCACAAGGCTACTGCTATCAGAAAGGAAAGAAGAGATATTTTTGATTAGAAGACATTTTTCCTGGCACAATTTTGTTTTGTGTTCCATTGTGTTGTTCTATGACAGGGTCTTGCTATTAGTCCAGACTGGTCTTAAACTCACTATATAGAAAAGACTAGACAAACTTGTAGCAAATCTCCTGCCTTGGCCTCCAGAGTACTGGTTTTACAGGCTTGTGCCACCATGCCTGGGCTGGCAAAATATTCTTATGCAGTTTTAAATCAGAACACTACAATGCACATTATTCCTTTCAATGGTTTAGAATCATGTAATGTATCTTGTTCTGGTCAGTTTATATTACAAAGTTATTTTCATGTGACTATTTTAATGACTTTCAAAATAAGGACAAGAGTTCTATTCCATTTTAGAAATCTGAAATATGTAATCTGAAATCCTTAAATAAAATTTGGGCTTAATTTTATTAAAAAAAAATTAAGGGCAAGAGTGAAATATCAGTCAGTATAACTCAAAGTAAATCAATGGAGATGTATTATGTTAATGTGGTAAAAATGACATCTCAATAAAATTTTCCCTACTTAATAGCTATTATTTTTACCTATAATTTAGAACACAATTTCCCGCCAGTAGAGAGAGAAAAATAAAGTATTTCCAATGTTACAACCAGGCAATTAGAAGAGCAGATTCTCCTTGGTGTCCAGACTGCAACAGTAAGTGGAGCCTTGGAGAACTTAAAAATCGGTTAAAAAAACAGTATTTTTTCTTTTATTGAGCAAAAATTAGTTAATTGGTTGATTAACTGATTCATGTATGCATACAATGCTACAGATCAAACTCAGGCCTCACACAGGCTAGGCAAGTGCTCCACTATTGAGTTATACCTGCAGCCCCCAAATTTCTTAAAACAGCAGAAAACATATAACAAAGCCAGCCAATACTTTTAAATACAAACTATAAAAAGATGAGCTAACACCAAATGTTGCAGGGAAGCTGTAAGTTTAACAAGGATATAATAAAAATTTTTATTAAGCCAGGTGTGGTGGTGCACGCCTATAATCTCAGCACTCGGGAAGCTGAGGCAGGAGGATCGCTATGAGTTTGAGACCAGCCTGGGCTACATAGTGAGTTCCAGGTCAGTCACAATTACATAATGACACTGTGTCTCAAAAAAAAAAAAAAAAAAAAAAATGTGGTACCAGATTTCTAAATTATAGAGTACAATAAACTACAATGTGTATTACTTACATATTGGTAGATCCAATCACACCTTTAGGAGGTAATCAAAATACTTGGGACTTAAGGGGAGTTTTAGGCCATACTGTACACTCTTTTAAAAGGATAATGTCAAGCAGGTGTTCAAAAAACACTCTTAGAGGTAAGTATTTTAGTGCTACAAGATATTAAACTTTAAAAATAGTTAAGATCTCAAGGCCGGGGATTTAGCTCAGTGGCACCACACCTGCCTTGCAAGCACAAGGTCCTGAGTTTGATCCCCAGTTACCAGGGGATAAAAATAAATAAAATAGTTACCATTTCCACTGCACAATTATAGATGAGTTTCTCTGCAGTTACACTGTTGATTTCATCAATAAATCTCTGTTTGTCAGAGAAGAAGCGATTCAGCTTTTCTGTAAGTTTCTTGCACATGGTGATGCAGAATTTATATCGCTCATTCAGATTTTTCACAACTGGAAAAAAGTTGAGATGGGAATCAATTTTCCCCAAACTAACAACACAATGACACAAATCTTTCCTGCTGACATAAGTGACACCACATGACCACTGAAGGAAAAGTACTGGAAATCAGGTTCTACGATCTCTTTCCCAGTGTGAAGAGACAGCCCTTCTGATTTCTTTCTGCATCTGTAAATGGTGAAAAACCAACAGGCACATTTCCCCCTGTACAGAACAATGAGTAACAGTTATTCCTCCTCAAAAATTTTCTCCCTTGGGATGAGAAGGGGTGACTCCAGGGCCAAGAAGCCTCCCGCTGCCATCTGCTTCCATACCTTGTTTCACAGCTGTCGACGGGCTCAGCTTCCCAGACTTGATCTGGGCTTTGGCGAGATGCAGGGAAGCTGCAAGCAGCTGTGCTGCCTTCATGTATAACACCAGCTGCTCCACCCTCCTGCACCCAGAAGACAGGAGCAGAGTGTTATCTTTTGAACCAACCTGCCAGACTGTGCATACCACAGATCAGCCCACCATTCATACTGCCTTTCTGAAAGAATCGCCTCCTAGGTTTTGTTTAATGCACAGATAACTAATAAAAGGGAGAACATAAGGCTTAGGGAAAGATGTGTGAACTCTGACTACAACAGAAACACCAAGATAAAAATCCACATAATCTCCTCCTCATCAAATATCTTCAACGGTATAATTTACAGGAAAAACACAATGCTAGCGCTGCACAATAAACTCTCAGCTCATACATACAGTGACATCTTATATCATGAAATGACTTCTAAGAGATTCCACTGAAGCTTCTAATGATGAGATGTGATCTTTAGTAGATAACAATGCCTATGTCTGAGGCGCAAGTTTACAGAAAACAAGAATCTACAAATACACTACAAAGGGGCACATACCCCCAGTCTTTGCTCAGCTGGCTGATCTGGTCCACAACCACACTCTCCTGAATCTGGTACAAGGACACAGCAGATGTGCACAACTCAGGATTTCCTCCCTGCATGGCTGTCAGGTCCAGCACACACTCGGTGAACATCAGCATCATGTTCAGGTGGCGTAAAGTGTCTGTGTGTTCTCTCTACAGCAAAGACAACATGCCTTATAACATATGACATTAAGAATTTCTGGGGCCGGGGATAGCTCAGTGGTTCTGCCGCCTGCCTCACAAACGCAAGGACCCAAGTTTGATCCCTGGTATCAAAAAAAAAAAAAAAAAAAAAAAAAAAAATTTCTGTATATACTTTGTACGTAATGTTTTTCCATACTGAAGAATGTGAGAATGATCAAACGAGACTGACATTTTTAAATTACAGAAAGCGGGTAAGAAAAAAACACAAATGAACCAATGTGGTTGTGTGCATGTATTCATTTGTATGTATCACAGAATCTACATAAGCAAGCTCCAAAGAGAGGAGATCACTGTGCTTTCACCAGAGAGAAAAAAGAATATGAACAATTAAATCAATATATGTAAGTCAAAGATCTGCCAGAACAGATACCAAGATTGCAAAGATACTCTTCCCACCAAATCACATTTTTCTTGTGTGTGAGTAAGATCTAGCTACCAGGCTGGCCCTGAATTCTTTGGGTCAAGTGATCCTCCTGCTTCAGTCTTCAGTAGCCAGGACTACGGGTGTGTACCACCATGCCCAGCTCTTAAATCACATTTCATAGTCAAGAGGAGTCTACTGACTTCTTATCATTTCAAAAATGCTTTTAGTTTCTGGTACTTTTTCACTTAACAGTGAACCAAAACTCTTAATTTTCTATAACCTTCCTTTATTGAAAAGAGAAGAGGACAGGAAGGCATAACAGCATTTTGAAGGACTGTCACTTAAAAATGGGTATTTTAAAATTAGTTTTGACATTTTCCTTTAGTTATAAGTGTATTCTAAAATCTTAAATAAGACTAAAAACTTCTCACAGTCCTTTTGCGGTTAAAAGATCAGACATGGTACCACATGCTTATAATCCCAACACTTAACAGGCCAAGGTAGCAAGGATCCTGACTGAGTTCAAGGCCAGGCTGAGCAATGTAGCAAGACCCTGTCTCAAAACAGAAAAGAAAGAAAAAAGAATAATTTTGCTAGAAAGAGACTAAATCACTCAGTTTTAGAGTCTCTCTGCTCAATGACACACATTGTCTCTATGCTCCAATACACTGAACACATGCTGGAATGGAATATACGTCTCATTTGATGGAGACTGAAAAAACTCAAGAACGAGATTTTAGATTGGATTAGAAGTTATTTTTGGAATTAATATTAAATTACCATAAATTAATATAAAATTACTACAAAATGACTACCTAAATTTTGCATGCAATATTTTAAACTTATATGAAATGTTGAAAACTTCTTCACATAAAGTAGAAATGCTAGGTGTGTCATGGAGAATTTGTTCTTCTTTTGGCCTAGAGAGTTCATCGTTTTAATTTAAATGTCAGCTAAGTTTAACATTCAAGCATCAGGGACTCAGAATGTTTTATTCCACTGAGTGTTGTCCTTGAGTCAAGAGTGAGGAGCTGAACAGGCACAGCTCTGAAGCCATAATAAAATTAACTTATCTGGTCTAGATTTGTGTTCAGCATGCTTCAGGTTATGTGCAATGTGTTTTTTCCTGGATCCAATGAGGAGAAAGACCTGATACACAAACATAAGTACACAGTCTTTTCAGCAGGTATATTTGTTAATGACTAACCTGGTATTATGGTGTATTACTTTTAAACTCATACGTAAGTGCATTATTTTTTACTTTGTGAAGAAAACTTTGAAAATAAAAAGCCAATTTTAAGGTAAAGACTATGCTTTTAAAATTAAAAAAAAACCCTACAAATAGTAAAACTGAATAAAAAAATTTAACATATATGTCACTTTCTATGAACCAAACATTTCTATGAATGTCACCAACAATGTGAAAAAATAAAGCAGTAATACTGTTTTAAATAGACAAGAACCTAAGTTCAGAACTATTTAAATATACTTAGCACTTATATCATCACTAAAATTTCATGTTATATCAATATTACATTAATATTCTACTAGTCTCCTCTACCTCCATCAGTGTCTCCTCCGGCAGTTCAGGGGCTTCGAAGGTGATGAGCCCCTCTAGGCTGGGGGGTGAAGCACCATAAGGCATGTATCTCAGGCTGGGAGCTGCCTCTGCTCCCGGTGGGGAAGAGCCCAAGCCCAGCCCAGGGGGTGAGCCCACACACACACGGCCAGTGGCAGAGCACAGGGAGCCTCCAGAGCTGCTGGACCCCACTGTAAGGAAACACAGGACACAGCACAGAGTCCAAGTTAGATTAAAAAGGAGTTTCATACCTACTCCTTTTTTCTTGGTTGTTCCATGGGGTTTATAATTATAAAACTCAATAAATGTATAGTATTTCAGGGGTCATTTATACTATTTCTGATTTTTTTCATATTACAAATATCACAAACAAAATGAATAAAGTTTTTTCCTTTTGAATACTTTCTATGTGATAAGTACTCCAACATGGTATTACATAAACAGAATGGAACCACACATCAAATATTGTAAACATTTGTACACCTCTTCCTAACAAGTACCACATTACTTCCAAAGCAGCTCTAAGCACATAGGTCTCACAAAATTTCAACAGTGGGCCTTATACTTGTACAACTGTTGGTGCATGCAGGCGTGGCACTGTGTGCTTACAATTCATTGAGGTAAGCGGATCACAAGTTTGAGGCCACCTTACCTCAAAATAATATCAGGGTTCAAAATAAAAAAGGCTCAGGATATAGTTTAGGGTAAGAGCATCCCTGGGTTCAATCTGTAATATCACACCCACAAAAAAAAACTGGCACAGTTAACTGATACAGAATCTTTCTTAAAATGGTATTTTATTTAAGAGTCTTAATATCAATTATTGTGTATCTTTTGTTTACTACTGTGATATCTTGATTAGCAACCTATGTAGAAAAAGAGAAGTTAAGACACAAGGTACAACATATATGATGACAATACAGTGATTTCAAGTCCTATGCCAATACTTTCTTAATGGACAACAAAAATATGTATTAATCTGCTAAATATTTATATGATTAAGTACAAACATGGGGATCTAAAATGTAATACAAAAAAACAAAACTTGGGTTTCTAAAAAACAAAAAAATACAAACATTGCTTTTAAATAATTTGTTGAACCCGTATACTTCTTATAACCTTTTGAGAAAAGAATCATTCCCACTTCACTGGTAAAGAAACTGAAGTCAGAGAAGTTAAATAATTTGTCTAAGTTACAATAACATCCAAAATACTAGGCATGGATTGTACTAAGATAAACAGTCCTCACCTGAGGTGGTTCTTGTTCGAAGGACCATATGAGTACAAGCAGGGGCTGTGGCACTGTGCGGAGGAGACCCCACAGTGAAGAGGACAGCCTTGGAACTTGCTACTGTTCCTGCTGGTGGTGCTACTACAACACCACAGGCTCCTGCAGGAGCTACAATAAAGAGTTTATAAAATGTCACAGTACCTACAGTGTTTCTATTACAGAGAAACTTTGATTTTTATGAGTTTTTTTTAACAAAATGCATTTATTTAAAATCAGAAAATCATATACATTCCATTAAAAATATCTTAGTGTAATCTCACATCTGTGGATCTTCTTCATACCCAAATCTATTATTCAGAGTTACTTTTGAATATTTTAAAGTGTGAATCTCAAATCACATTTCTTAAGGATAATTTGAAAAAGGAGAAACCAAGAACTGAGAATAAAATATATGATTAAGATGAACAGACAGCCGGGTGTGGTGGTGCACTCCTATTTAATCCCAGCACTCGGGATGCTGAGGCAGGAGGATCGCTGTGAGTTCAAGACCAGCCTGGGCTACATAATCTCAAAACAACAACCAAAGAGTACAGATAACTACTATATATTATTTATATATATATTTATTTATAAAACATAATAATTGCATCCTCATTCTACTTTCTTCTCTTGAATTATTTAAAAAGCTATTATACAGTATGTATATAATTGCATTATTGGGCCTCTAACATAGAAATGCAGTATATTTGGCAATAGCATAAAGAAGGCATGTGGGAACAAGTTGTACTAGAGGAAAAAGGTAACATTAGATAGGAATTTTGAATCCATAAAAGCAAATGCAGACAACCAGAAATGATAAATTAGGTAATACAACAAACTATAAATGCGAAGTTATACTCTTTTCTTGCTTCAGCTTCCTTACAGGACATAAAATTATATAAAGTAATATAACAAGATATCACTGAGTTTCTAATACATATATAATATGTATAACAATAATAACACTAATAAAAGTGGGAATATAGTACCCAAAGGGAAAAAGGAAGAACAATGCAGAAGTAATGTTTCTGTTAGCGGAATCAGGTTAGTGTAAGTCTGAAGTTGATTGTGATAACTTTATGTGGCCCGAAGGCAAATACTAAGAAAAAAACTTAAAAAGTGAAAACCTTCACTCAAGGGATCAAAATGTGACACTACAAAATACTCATTTAATACAAAAGAAAGCAGTAAAAGATCCCTGGTACCAAACAAGCAAAGCAACAAACAAAAAAACAAAAGAAAGCATTAAAAAAGGAGCTAGCAAGACAGGGCTGGGGATTTAGCTCAGTGGTTCCGCCATAAGCCTCACAAGCACAAGGACCCGAGTTCGATTCCCAGCACCAAAAAAAAAAAAAAAAAAAAAAAAAAAAAAAAAAAAAAAGAATAGCAAGACATATACAGAGAACAAAAAATAAAATGCATAGGTAAACCCAACAAAGACAAGAATGTTAAATGTGAAGAGACTGAGTAATCTAATCAAAAGGATGAGACTGTTAAATAAAATAAACTATATACATCTACATAGAACATATTTTAGTGTCAAAGATACAGCTAGACCAAAGGAAAAAGGATGGGAAATGACACATAAACAAACCATCCTAAGAATTACATTAGACTTAGAAACATGCGTGTAAGAAGAGTTCAGTAAAATATTAACTACTACAGTATTCTCCTTGGATTAAAAAGCCATATTTAACCAGTTATGTTGTTGGCCCAGATGTTCAGAAAAAGAATCAATTTTTAAAATTAAAGAAGAACTAGGCATGGCGTACAAGTACACCTGTACTCCCAGCTACTCTCAGGCAGCAGACTATGGCTTCAAGGCCAGCCTGGGAAGCTTAGTGAGAACCTGTCTCAAAATTTTAACTAAGGGTTGGGGATGTAGTTTAGCACTTCCTAAATTCTACCCTTAGTAAGAGGAAAAAAGAAAAGAGAGGTTAAAATAGATCTCCAAATTTGAGTATACATAATAATCACTTGAGGATTATAGGAATTCAACCCCCCAAACTTCAATTAAACAAGTCTGGTTTAGGTTTGGAATCTCCATTTTGTTTTTGTTTCTTTCAATAAACAATTTAAATAATCAAAATGGTTTGTGAACATAATGGTCTCCTGAATCCATGAAAGGTTCAGGAATCTCAAGAACAATGGGTCATTATAGGCTCCATTATAGGTGCCATTGCTAATCTGTACACATATGCTTAGGCTAACTTTGTCCCACAAGATTCTACTCATAAAAAATAATTTAGGTCAGAATTCCTTCCAACTCATAGGCTGCTGATCATCAAGACATTAAACAGCCTGTCTTATCCAGCCTTGAGACAGAAGAAGAGATGACAGGGATGACCTCAAGAAATGTGAGATAACATACTTCTCTTATTTTAAGCACCAATCTTGTAGTAATAAGAAACTAAGATATATGCTAATAAATTATTTGCCTAAATAGAAAACAGATTTTTCTTACCTATATCCATTGGTCGTTCTGTATTTAAACTATCTGAGCTGCCTTGGTGTCCACCTAAAGGTGCTTTTATTTGTTGATCTGATAATTTTCCAGTACTGACAGACCTAAAAAGAACAGTGAAATTAATAATGGACATGTAGTGCAGATAGATGAGTTAATTAGATATCTTGTAGGCAGTTAGACAGGGTCCCCTCAAGGACCAACATGGAGGACAGTCAAGACACTTTCAAGAAGGCCAGAAATGCAAAAAGAGAGAAACTACTACACACTTGTGCTTCTCCTGGGAATAAATAGCAGTGACTGATATTCTAAATAGGTATAAGTCACCTGGGGGTAGGGGGGCAAAGTCTTATCACAGGAAATATTCCTGATCCTCACCCTTACTGAAAATCCTTGTATGCCTGCTACATGACTTGAACCACTGACCCCCCCATTTGATCGATAATATTGGGTGACTGTACTTGTAATCTTATCACTTGGTTGTGGTTTTGTCCCACCTCATAAATTTCTATTAAATTTTATACTTTTGTCCCACTTTGTATCCGCCTCACCACATGGCTTTGCTGTATAAAACATCTTTGAAAAGAGGTGTGAGTGGGCAACCCACTTTCCGGTCCACCTTCTGTCTCTCTTATTATTCTTTCAATACATTTTTCCTACTCTTAACCTCTGTTGTTCCTAGAATTCATTCTTCGATTTTAGAGAACATGAACTCGCGTTTCGGTTATCTAGTAGGTTTGGGAGTTACATCTCTTCCACCTAGATCACAAGTACACTTTTTAAGACTAGAAGAGTTAACAGGAAGTCAGAGAACAAGTAAACAAAAAATAGATGTCAAACAATTCGGAATATAGACAAACTTCCATAACCAAAATAAAAGAGAAATAGAATATTCAAGTTCAGGAAGAATTCTGTATTTACACATTCATAGAATGTATTTATAGTTTTCAGACATTCTAAATGTATACAGTATATATTAATAATCACATGGCATTGGGCCAGGGATGTAGCTCAGTAGTGCAGGAGCATGCTTCACAAGTGCAAGTTCCTGAGTTAGATCCCCAATAACAAAAAAAAAAAGAAAAGAAAAGAATCACATGGCATAAACGAGATACTGAATAATAAGGTCTGTTGCTTTTATAACAGAAATACATTTATTCTGCTATTACAGCTTTCATATTTAAGGCTAAAAAGGAAACAGTCTTTTACCTGCCAAACACTGCCTTGTTCTGCTGCTCAGACCGATGCCTCTCACCTCCTTGTACTAAGAAGCAATGGGAACATTCCCGTGCGTCATTTCCATCTTTGGATTGCCCTTCAGCAGGCCCATGGCGTGTAACCAAGGCTAACAGGTTGGAAGACGCTTGTGTTTTAGGGATTTTGAAAGGAGCTGTGGTCTAAAGAAGCACATAAAAGCTAGTTTAAAATCATGCATGAAGTGTTCTGAATTTGCAGGCTGTACAGCAACTATTCAGGAATAAAGGCATTGGAATTAAGTCAGACCTGGATTTAAATAATGGCTCTACTAAGTTAAATTATCATTATTTGCAGATAACATGAATCTCTACATAGAAGACCCCAAAAACTCTACGAAATACCTTCTAGATTGTATCAAATTTAGTAGTGTAGCTGAATACAAAGTCAATACTCAAAAATCAATACCATTTATGTACACAAATAATAAAATCACTGAAAAAATTAGGGAAAGAACACTGTTCACAACAGCATTGAGAAAAAAATGAAATACATAGGAATCAATCCAATAAAGGACCTATACATAGAAAATTACAGCACTCTGAAAAAAAGCGATCAAAGAGATATCAGGAGATGGAAAGACATCCTCTGCTCTTGGGTTGGAAGAATCAACACAGTGAACTAACTCCCAAAATTGTTATACAGGGCCAGAGATTTAGCTCAGAGGAGCTGCTGCCTGCCTCACATGTGCAAGATCCCAAGTCTGATACCCAGTACCAAGAAAAAAAAAAAAAAAAAAAAAAAAAAAACACCTAAAATTGTTATACAGAATGTAATCCTAATCAAATTCTAACAGCATATCTCATAAAAGCATCATATCACAATGATATATACACACCACATTCACAGCAACACAGTTTGTAATAGCTAAATCTTGGGAACAAACCAACAGATATCCATCATGAATGGATAAAAAAGCTATGTTTTTAGACAATGGAGTACTACTCAGCCATAAGGAAAGATAAATTTGACAATAAGGATTTAATCAGATTTTACTGTTTCTTAAATTTTAAATTGTTAGATGCCATTTAAATGATGGTACAAGAATTCACTTTTCAGTAGCATTTCTTTTTGTTCAGATACCTGAATGATTTTAGCAAGATTTAGCAATATTTAAGTAACCAGTTTCTCTGACATTTAAAAAAAAGGTGGCTTCTGACTATTTTGATTTTTTCAAATATATGGCATCTTTGTCAATTAAACTGAAAAGTCTTTTTACAGAATGAGTTAAAACACAACTTGTGATAAGCACTGATAATAAACATGGCAAATACTGGCTGTTATTTATAAAATTAAAGAAAACACTTTCTTCAAACTCTAAATTTTGTGTATATTTTGAGGTTTTAAGAATTGATGGTTTATTTATTATTTTGTAGATTAAGTTATTCATGTATGAAACAAAGTAGGAATACATATTGAAAAAGGATTATGTTTACAGAGGGGATTTTCATGTGTCACATTTCTTAAATGTAAACATATTATTAACGCACACTTAAGTAGTACTTCAGAAAGCCAACAAAATAACAAAATTAAAGTGTCATATATGTGTCAGGGACAAAAATAAAGCCATTTTGGTGATGGAAAAAAAAGATAAACGAGACATTTATAGCTAAATGGATGCAACCTGAGACTCAATATTCCTAAGTGAAATAAATCGTACACATACGTGTAAATATTGCATTGTCTCTTTGGTGTGAGAAACTGAAAGGGCAAATAAAGAATAAATGTATTACAGATAATATGAAATAGGAAGAAACTGTTCAAAGGGAAAGGGAAACTGTGAAAGGGAGGTGGGGGGAGGAAAGGAAAAGGGGGAAAACCAAGAAAAAAAAATGCAAACAAAGCTTTTGTAAATATGGGGGGGGGGTGAAGGGAGGGAAGGGGATTGGGAGAAAAAGAGGAATCAAGATATATCATTTACTGCTGCCTGTCTCTCAAGCACAAGGACACAAGTTCAATCCCCGGTACCAAAAACAAAAAAACAAAAGATATGTAGGGCTGGGGATGTAGCTCAGTGGTGCCACCTTCTGCCTCACAATCACAAGGTCCTGAGTTTGATCCCTGGTACCAAAAAATTAAAAAACAAACAAACAAATATAATGTATAGGTGCAAACTCTCTTTGATACACGTGCTCATTATGTATATACAAACTGTACTGATAAAATTAATTTTTAAAATACTAGCTCTTCTCTATATAGCATGTGTTTTAAGCTCTTTGAGCCTCAATTTCCTTTTTTCAAGATTAAAAGGATCATGCAAATATAATATTCAACAAGTTAAGTTTTTATACCCTGCTGGGCACATAAAAAGTGCTCATCAAAATTATGGTTGTTTTTATCATGAATCCTTTCCATAAAGTATTATACCAGCTTACGATCTACAAAAGAAACATACCTTAGTAGGAGAGCCAATGATGGTTGGTAAAGGAGTTTTAAAGAACCAATCAGAACTCCGTGGAGATGATCCCATGTGCTTAGTGGGAGAGGTGCCAAGGCTGCCAGGCCGACTGGGCTGAGGTGAGTAGTTGTACCCAGCCCCGGCATGGGATGGGCACACAGGGTCAGAGTGCTGTTTTCTGAGCTTCTGCTTGTTTTGATAGATGTCAGTGAGGGTGGGGGTACTTTGCAGCCTAGCACCCAATAAGAGAGACTGTGGTGACTGAGCCTGTGGCACAGGAGAACCTACAAGAAAATGAATGCAATAGTAACCCAAAGTGAAGAAGTCCAAAGCAAAAACTCAAGAAATAAGAAGACAATTATTACAGTGAGAAGTCTGATGAGTGTCTTACTTTTCTTGAGATATCCTAATTGTTGGCTAGGCAAAGATATTTTCTAGCAACCTTTAGAAAACAAGTATGCTGTTGTATTCTTGTGAGATTTAATGAGAATGGATACATCCGCTGCTTTTATCTGTGGCTATCAATTCAGATTAATGTAAGGTCTGAAGAGATCTATAAATTTAATGGTCACAGGAAATAACAACAAAGACCTATATTGAACCAGATGATTTTTAATCTTTATATGCAATACACTTGGGTATATGAAAGTAATTATTCTCTTTCCTTACATAGCAACTAAAATAAACTTTCAGGCTAACCCAGGATAACCCCTTACTCAACAACACAAAAACAAAATATATGAAATATAGTAAAAGTCATAAAGATAGTAATAGAGCTATATCCTGAGTTCTATTATGTCTACAATAACAAACATAGGGATGTTTTATGTGTTTTGTCAGTGTCATCAGTGATACATTTAAAGCCTAGAGTACTCATATTCTCTACATAAGACAACACTTGTCTACTGTTTTCTTGAACTTTAAGGGAACAACACATCAAGACACTGAGAGACTAGGCACTCCTCCCCCACATAACCACCTTGTTGCCTACCATAAGAGTTGTCCACTTATATGGTACTTTTATCTTAATGTGGCCAGTGCATAGATAATTGAGTTCTAAATCTATGGAGTTTCTTGCAAGCAAAACTATCACCAATAACATTAAGTAAATATATTCTTAGCGACCTAACCATCAACTCTCTAAAAACAGACAGGCATAGAAGGTTTGCTACTAACTACTCTTGGCTTGATCTCATTTCAAACCTGACATTTAATTCTTTAGAACAGTGTTCTGTCTTTTATACAAATAAATTTTATAAATAAATAAGTAAAATTAGTGGCAAAATATTATGACTGGTGAATTACTTCATCTCTTTCTTAAGCTTTATTTTTAGAAAACAAAAAATATTAAAAATATTAAAAACTAACCTTAGAAAACAGTGTTTTCTAAATTATATATGACTCCCTCAACTAACAACTGTTGACGTGTCCATACGACAGAACCTGATTTATAAGTGTAATTCACATATCTTTTCAGTCATATATTCATATATGAATATATGTGAATGTATAGAACTTTAAGTTCAATGTATATGTATATATGAATATATATAATTGTAGATAATTACATATGAATATATTACTATTTATAATATAGTAAAGCAATAACCATCTCTTTTTCGTTTTTGTCTAAGACTGATAGGGGGACTTCTTTATCAAGAATAAATTAATCTGGGGCTGGGGATTTAGCTCAGTGGTTCCACCGCCTGCCTTGCAAGCACAAGGACCCGAGTTCGATCCCTGGTACCAAAAAAAATTTTAAAAAAAGAATATATTAATCTGTGAGCCAAATTAAACTCCTCTTTTAAATCATAGGTGCACATGCTAGACTTGAACTTGTAATCCTCCTGCCTCAACATCCTGGAGTGCTGGCATTACAGGTGTGGGCTACCACACCCAGATAGCATTTTTCTGTTGTGCTACAATAATTAGTTTATGTCTACCAGTCTCACTACATAGTGACTACCTTGAAGAAGGTAGGAATAAATTTTAGCGTTGTGTTGTTAGACACTGATCCTGTTTCAGCTGTCTTGAAAGCATTTGGAAAGCGCAGAAGGACTGAATTGAGAGAGCTCTGGAGCATTAGAGTCCTGAAAGTCTACTTTTTCATTCTTCATTATGCTGCTCTTTGACCCTGAAGAAGTCACTACCCCTCTTGGTTTACCTACTTTTCTATAAATAAGAAGGAGTTAGCCCATCTGCCCTTCAGGGTTCCTCTAATAATTCATTTTAACAATTAATAGAAATGTGTACTTTAACTGCAGGAAATTAATATTTAATATTAAAAAAGTTCATAGCCTTCCATTTCACCTCTTTCTTCAGAGTTGTAAGGTGCTCACCACATTAAAAAAAAAAAGCTTAAAGAGTATATAGGCCATATTTTATTTCACACACATACCAAATGACAGTGCCTCTAATATCAAAGGCCTTCTGATGCATTCTGAGCAGTAAGTAAATTAGGTGAGACATGCGATAAGTCTCCAACCCTCACCCACTGATTTCTAGGTAATTATTTTAGACAGTAATTTTGCTTGAATTTATCTGGATTTTTATTGCCTGTTTTCTCCAGATTTTATGTGAAAATCATTTAAAACAAAATACATCATATATATTATTTATCAGGGCCAAGGATTTAGCTCAGTGGTTCTGCTGCCTGCCTCACAAACACAAGGTCCTGGGTTGATTCCCCAGTACAGGGAAAAAAAAAAAAAAAAAAATCAAATTAATGAAATTTCACTTTCTAGATTTTCATTATATGTATGATAATAAAAATTTAGGTTATTTCATTCCTAAGAATATTTTAATAAAGTATTTTATATGTAAAAAGGGGTATTACCTATATGACACACAGAAACACATTAGGGAGCTGGGGATGTAGCTCAGTGGCACATGGCACAGTACCTGCCTTAAAAGCACAAGGTCCTGAGTTCAAACCCTGGCACACCCCCCCCCAGGAAAGAAACATATTAGACCAAGATTCTAAAAAAACAGGATAGCAGAGGAAATATTTCATATCAATTCAGTTCTTCTGATAAGACCAGAAAAACATAACTCAAATCCATTCCTAATGAAATTCAAATTATTAAAATACCAAATACATTTTCCTACCTGAGGAGTTTCTACTCCTGGATTCATGGCCCTGAAGATGCCCACAACAGCACTGACTAAATTGCTCAGGAATAGTACCAACTATAAAATAAAAGATGGAGAAAGGAATAAAAAATTATTTAAAACCAGTGAAGTATGCGAATAGGCAACATATGCACAAATTGCTCAGTATATACTGTAATAGCTTACAAAATTTTAATCAGTAAAGATTTAGATTTGAACTAACATGGAGTCAACGAGGTCAGAAATGGTCATGCTAAGATTAAAAAGTATATAACAAGATCAAAAGGAAAGAAGGCCGTGTAAATGAGGCAATTTAAGGTGATTGTAGGTTTTGGGGTTTTTTTTCTCAATCATTGTCACAGGGCTCTTGAGGACTGGTTATCAGTAGCCCTGCTCTGCCTGCCTCCTTCTGAGACTTCTTGCTTTCCACCTTAGTTCTCCTACAGCAGTTCTCACTGCAGGCAGGGTCCCTCCAACCCACCTGTTTTTCCCACTACCTCTATGTTGCTTCTCATAGATGCTATGGGACTTAGTAGCTTTGGCTTCTCTTACTCTTTGAGGAAGCATTTTCTCTGCCTCTTAAATTTCACTGAAGATGTGGTTTGTGGCTTTTCTGTTTCCATAAGGGTTCTTCTTGTTACCATAAATGAAGTGAGAAGATCTATAACAAAGCTGCTACTATATTCCTAGTGGAGGTGGAAGACTTCTGATGAACGTGACCCAAAGCTTTTTGTATTTTAATTTTATAGGTCTGAGCGATGAGTCAAGTAAGGCATTCTATGCATTTTAACCTAGGATCTCTAACTCTGCAATTAGAACCCAAATACAATGATCATGCTTTTGATATAAAAGACCCATTTATTTACTGTATTTTCAACAGCAAGCACAACGGATTGGGGGGCGGGTGCTGGGGATTGAACTTGGGACCTTGCACTTGCAAGGTAGGCGGCAGTACCACTGAGCTGAATCCCAGCCCAAACCCAACAGATTTATACAGAGGTTCTCAAGGGACAGTTAGAGGAATTGGGTAAAGTGAAAGGGCCATCCATGCCCTCCAATCAGGTCAGAATCATTACTATAGCAAACTGAGGTTCCTAAAAAGAGTCCATTGTGTTAGATCTGTTGCAGTGAAAACAAAGTTGAAAAATAGCTGCTTTAAACTCTCCTTACCCAAAGGGGAAGGTGAATAAGGCCTGGAAGACCCAGTAGAAAGTCTCCGTCCAACTGTCTGCACTGTGTCTGCTGGTGCTGGGGAGCAGGATCCCACTCTGAGGAAGCCCAGGGGGCTGGTGTTAGACCTTCGTACCACTGCAGATCTGGTGAGAAAAGGAGAATTATTTACTTTGGTAAGTTCTAGGATTTCCTTTGAAATTTTCTAACAATATGGCACAAAAAAGCCTTTCTAAAAATGTACAGCAGTCACATGGAACAAACATAAAAAGTATAAAATAATATAGAGTACTATCTCCCTCAATTTATCTATCTATCTAATTCTCAACATTTCTCTAATCCTATTCAAAAAACTACCAGAGCTGGGCGTGGTGGCACACGCCTATAATCCCAGCAATCGGGAGGCTAAGGTAGGAGGATCACCTGAGTTCAAAGCCAGCCTGGGCTACATAGTGAGTTCAGAGCCAGTTTGAACTACAAAGGGAGATCCCGCTTCAAAAAAAAAAAAAATTTAACACTATTTTTAGTTTCTAGTGTAGTCTTGCAGAATGACTTAATGAATATGCAGTATAACCAAAATGAATACATATTATTATATTCACCTTGTTTTAACACCAAAGATGATATACACTACTTTCAATTTGTTTTTTATTTTTATGTTGGTGAGCAACTCTGAAGAAAGAGGTGAAATGGAAGGCTATGAACTTTTTTAATATTAAATATTAATTTCCTGCAGTTAAAGTACACATTTCTATTAATTGTTAAAATGAATTATATGAGGAGACCTCTAGAGCAGCATAATGAAGAATGAAAAAGTAGACTTTCAGGACTCTAATGCTCCAGAGCTCTCTCAATTCAGTCCTTCTGCGCTTTCCAAATGCTTTCAAGACAGCTGAAACAGGATCAGTGTCTAACAACACAACGCTAAAATTTATTCCTACCTTCTTCAAGGTAGTCACTATGTAGTGAGACTGGTAGACATAAACTAATTATTGTAGCACAACAGAAAAATGCTATCTGGGTGTGGTAGCCCACACCTGTAATGCCAGCACTCCAGGATGTTGAGGCAGGAGGATTACAAGTTCAAGTCTAGCATGTGCACCTATGATTTAAAAGAGGAGTTTAATTTGGCTCACAGATTAATATATTCTTTTTTTAAAATTTTTTTTGGTACCAGGGATCGAACTCGGGTCCTTGTGCTTGCAAGGCAGGCGGTGGAACCACTGAGCTAAATCCCCAGCCCCAGATTAATTTATTCTTGATAAAGAAGTCCCCCTATCAGTCTTAGACAAAAACGAAAAAGAGATGGTTATTGCTTTACTATATTATAAATAGTAATATATTCATATGTAATTATCTACAATTATATATATTCATATATACATATACATTGAACTTAAAGTTCTATACATTCACATATATTCATATATGAATATATGACTGAAAAGATATGTGAATTACACTTATAAATCAGGTTCTGTCGTATGGACACGTCAACAGTTGTTAGTTGAGGGAGTCATATATAATTTAGAAAACACTGTTTTCTAAGGTTAGTTTTTAATATTTTTAATATTTTTTGTTTTCTAAAAATAAAGCTTAAGAAAGAGATGAAGTAATTCACCAGTCATAATATTTTGCCACTAATTTTACTTATTTATTTATAAAATTTATTTGTATAAAAGACAGAACACTGTTCTAAAGAACTAAATGTCAGGTTTGGAATGACAGCTCCCTCACACCAATAAATAAATAAATAGCCTAAAATGAGGGAACTGCAGATATTCCAAATATTGATAGATTATACAACAGCAAAAAGTCACATTGATACCAAAGGGTCACCCATAAATCTTAACAGAAATGTTTGATAAGACATTAACAGAAAGTGTTAAGATCACAGTGGTGAAAACAAATTTCCCAAAATTCTCATTTTTTGCTTGGAAGCTCATATTCATTACTGACATTTACTTGTTTTCTTCAAAGTAGCAATTTTTTTTTTTTTTTTTTTTTAGACAGATTATCACTATGCAACCCAGGCTGGCTTGAACTCAGAATAATCCTCCTGCCTCAGCCTCCTGAGTTGGGATTTACAGGCATGCACCACAACACTCAGCTCAAAGTAGCAAAATTTATTTCTTTTTTTTTCTTAAATATTTTTTCCCCACTAAGTTTATTGGTACTTTTTAGGTATACACTACAGTTACATTCATAATGGGATTTTGTACCTTTTACATGATGTATCTCAGTTCTTGTTTTTTTCCCATAACACCACCCTCTTCATCCCCTCCACCCTTCCCTATTTACAAAGACTTTGCTTCCCTTTTTTCCTTTCCTTTTCTCATATTTTTTATTTAGTTCATTTTTAAAAAAATGGTTGCTTAAGGCTGGGGATTTATTTAGCTCAGTGGTTCTGCAGCTTGCCTCACAAACACAAGGTCCTGATTTCAATCCCTGGTACCAAAAAAAAAAAAAAAAAAAAAAATGGTTGCTAGACACCCATGCCATAGTTTGTCAGTAATTCACTGAAGTAAGAGGAGGGATTCCTTTTAAAAAGTGGCTAATACAGCCCACAACTAAAACAAATATTCCAGTGTTCTTTCTAAGATAACTACTCTAAAATAAAGCAAAATGCTTTATGTGTACATTCTACTCAAGGGTTATTCTTTTCAAAGAGAAATAATTTTTATTGCTTTGTCAAAGGCATTCCTTAGTACTGACAGTAATGAGGTGGTCAAGAACACAAAGATCAATAGCACAATTTGGTGTTAACACTTCGACTGATCCTAAAGAATGAGCAAGATTTAAAAAAAATTTGGGGGGGGTACATTTTAGCTATACATAATGATCACATTCATCATGGGGAATCTGTACCTGTACACAATGTATCTCTATTCTTCTTTTTGCCCCAACCCCCTCTGCTCCTTTCAATTACTAGTCCCCTCCTTATTTACAAAACCTTTGCTTCCATTTTTCCCCTCCCCCACCCCACCCCCACCTTGTTCAGCTTTCCATTTGAACATTTTCTTCTTATTTTCCAATATCTATTACAAATTTTGGTCCTTATTTACCCTTTTGGGTTTCTCACACCAGAGAAACGTAGAATTTAAACAGCAAGTTAAAACAACACTGATATTCCATCTCACTCCAAAAAGAATGGCTGTTATCAAGACATCAACTAACAATAAATGCTGGTAGAGCTGTTGCGGGTGGATCCTTCTCCATTATTGGTGAGAGTATAGACTGGTGCAACCAACTATAGAAATCAGTGTGGATATTCCTCAAAAAACTAAAACTAGGGCCGGGGATTTAGCTCAGTGGTTCTGCCACCTGCCTTGCAAGCACAAGGTCCAGAGTTCGATCCCCAGTGCCAAAAAAAACAACTAAACCTAGGAGTTCCAGTTGACCCAGCTATTGCCCTTCTTCATATCTTCCTGAAAGAATTAAAAGCTACCTACCTCAAAATATATGCACACCCATGTTTACATTAGTACAATTTGTAACAGCTAAATCTTGGAAACAACCCAAATGCCCATCAACGGATGAATGGATAAATAAGACATGTTTTTTTAAATAATGGAATTCTGCCATAAAGAAGCATAAAGTTGAGACATTTCTAGGTAAATGGATACACCTTGAAACCATACTCTTAAATGAGCAGATTTAGATTCTACTTTATGCACCATTACTACATATATCAATGCAGTGAACAAAGCTAATATCATAGTATTATTATAAAAGTTCTGACCTTCTAAAGGTATCCACAGACCAGACTCAGAGAACCACAGCCTGAAATGTCAATTACTGCTTTTTAAATTTTATACCGTATCTTAGAAAGTTTTCTGCCTTAATATATAGCTTCCTTACTCTTTTTAAATTGAAGATACATAATATTTCATTGTCATACATGAATTATAATAAATGAGTCCGTTTCTGGTGGGCACTTGGCTTATTTCTCATCTTTTCTTATTGTAATAGTAACTTTATATAATTTCATACATAAATACTACATATACACGGAATATTTATCTATGCACATGTATATACAGAACAAGTTAACAAAGCTGAACTACTCTTTCCTTCTTCCACTTTACCTGAGTTTTCTGAGATTTAGGTATTTTTGGGACTACTGAGGACACAGTGATTCTCCTGTCAGAAAATCTACCTGCTAAAGCAGGAACCCTTCCTCCATTCTCTTCATTTACCAGAAACTTTCAAAGAAATCTATAATCATTGAACATCGGTTCTTATTTTACTTGTGTTTGTGGACTTACACTTTTGCTATTTCTTTGCTACCTACCATCTTTAATGGAGTCTCAAAATGTGGAAGAAGTAAACAATAAGTAAATAATCTGCTCTGATAGGATTTTTTTTTTGTACTAGGGATCAAACTCAGGACCTGGGCTAAATCCCTAGCCCTAGGATTTCATTTATAATAAGTTATTCAAGTCTAAAAGTAATTATACTTGTGGGTAAATATATGCATCTATATGTGCAAACACACATACACACACATCTGATTGAAAGTTTCAGATATTTCAATAATATACAGTTAACAACAACAACAAAGTAAAAATTAAGACACAAGCTCACCTTGGAGAACCATGGGGATTTGTACCAGAACTGGCAGCAGATGTCAGATTCTGCTCAATGCGCTGATAATTCCTTATTTGAGTAGGAACTGGAATTGGGGCTGTTTCACTGTGAGGTGACACAGTAGGTTGACACTGCCTGCCATCATAATTTTTAAAAGAAATAAATATTAGTAAGGCCACTTTTCTCTCACATGACCTGTTAGTGATAGAAAATACTCTACAAAGCACCAAATGATCACTTCTGAATGTGATCAGGAAATAATCTTGTTTTAAAAAATAAAAAAATAAAACCAAAGAAATCACATCTGTCATCTAAACAGCTCCTCCTGGCATTCAGACTAAAGACTACGAATATTATCAATGACCCAAGAAAAAGTCTATCAGAGGAAAAGTACACAGATCAAGAGAACTATTCACCCACTCACATTCTGCTAATTCACTATATGAGAACAAAAAATATTTCTAGGAAAATATACTGGGTAAAAAGAACAGGAAGTTGGAAAACAAGTATCTCTGAAATGTTTACAAGTCCTGATTCTGAAGGAACTCTCACTTCATGAAAACTGAAAATTGTGCAAATCTCAAAGTACATAGCTAATCTATAGACCACATTATTTCCTTGCTTTTCTCTCACTTCATGAAAACAAAGTATACAGCTAATCTGTACACAGTATTTCCTTGTCTTCTTTTTTAGAATTAGAAAAGTTTTATTAAATGACTTAAGAAAAAAACATTACCTATTAAACTCATGCATTCTTACTTTAAAGGTACTTACAGCATTATCATTTCAACATTTCCTTGCGAAAATAAGATTTAGAAGTCCACAGAGGTCCACTTTAAGAATGACCCACAATAAAGACAACATATTTATAGCTTTTATAATACTTCCTTCAAATTGTGATTTTGGAGAGCAATGCATCCATATTTATTTGCGCAAGTGGGCCAGGGATTTAGCTCAGTGGTTGCGCCACCTGCCTTGCAAGCACAAGGACCTGAATTTGATCCCCAGTACCAAAAAAAAAAAAAAAAAAAAAAAATTTACTTGCGCAAGAGTTTCTTAAATTTATTGTACTTCAAAACACTAGGGGTTTTCACAAGTCTTTGAAAGTGTTAAAATTTTTTTTAAAATCTGTATTTACATGGTTTCAATTTTGTTTTTAATTGTTGTTTTGCACTAGCAATCAAACCCAGGGCCTTGCACACAAATGCTCTACCACTGAACTACATCTCCATCCTCAGTGTGCACGTTATTTATATTCAGGGAGTTTCTATACATCCTCTCATGACTTTGAAATGAACTGTAAGAACTAAACATTTCCCAACTCTTTCTATTCATAGGCATTCTCTCCACTATGAATTACAACATGTGCTTAGAAAGGCTGTGTGATTATCAACTTCCCCACATTCCACAGATAGGCTTTCTCTCCAATATCAGATATTTTCTTCTTTTGCAAGGAATTGCAACAAGAAAGTGATTTTCAATATTGCTTACATTCCCAGCATCCGTATCATTAAAGTTTTTCAATTTTCATGACTAAAATAATGGCAAGACTTCATCACGCTTTACACTCAAAGGGTTACCCATCAATATGAATCTTTCTATGTTTATACAAGAAAGTGGGACACTTGAAAGCTTTCCCACACTCATTACATTCATATAGTTTTTCTCCATTATGAGTTCTTTCATGTCTTCAAAAGGAATTGGTAGTTAAGGCTTTCCAACATTGCTTACTTTCATAGGGTTTTTCTCAACTGGTAGTTCCTTCATGTTTTCTAACATCACTGGAACTACTGAAGGCTTTCCCACATTGCTTACATTTATAAGGTCTGTCTCCACTACCTGTTACCATGTGTCTTCGAACACTTTTGAGACAAGTGACTATTTTCCCACATTCCTTACATTCTTAATGTTTCTCTTCAGCATGTGTTCTCATATGCATTCGAATGTAACTTGGACAAATGAAAGCTTTCCCACATTGTTTACTCAGAGGGTTTCTCTCCAGTGTAAGTTGTTTCATGATTTTGAAGAGAACTAGAACATTTAAAGGCTTTACCATATTGTTTATATTCATAGGATTTCTCTCCAGTGTGAGTCCTTTCATGTATATGAAATCAACTGGGATAATGAAATGCTTTCCCACATACCTCACACATTTATATGGTCCATCACCAATGCACTATCATGTGTCTTCAAACACTCTGGAGTTCAGTAAAGGTTTTCCCACACTGCTTACAATTATAGGGCTTATCTCCAGTGTGAGTTCTTTCATGTATTCAAATGTAACTGGGAAAACTGAAAGCTTTCCCACACTGCTTGCATTTGTAGGATTTTTCTCCAGTGTGAGTCTGTTCACACATTTGAACGTAATTGGAACTTCTGAAGGATTTCCCACATTGCTTACATTCATAAGAGTTTCTCCCTACTGTGAGTTCTTTCAAAATTTTGAACAGAACTGGGCCAGTGAAAGGCTTTACCACATTGCTCATGTTCACACGGTTTTTCCATATATTCCTTATACTCATACGGTCTTTCTCCAGGGTCAAATGTGGTATGTCTACTAAGGAATGAATGATGAATGGCCACTTCTATACATTCATGACTTACAGAAGGTTTTCCTGTCCACAATATGATCTGGAATCTAGCTGAAGTTTTTTCCATTTATTGCTTTCTTTATATTCAGATTCCCTCCACCACTTGACTTCTTAGATTTCTCCTGAGATTTCTGTATTCATCTTCAATATTCTGGTTTTCCTGTTTTATTCCAACAGAAGACAGGTTCTTGAAAGTTTCCAACATCACTTCTCTGTAGAGATTCTTTTGAAAATGATCCAGCAAAGCCCATTGCTCCAGGGTGAAGTTTACCGCCACATCCTCAAATGTCATTAAGTCCAAGGGCTTCTGCATTCCTGGCTGTGAGCAGACAGGAACATTATCAGGGTAGAATTCTAGGAACAAATAACTACTTTCCATGGCCTCTCTTTGCAGGCTCAACAATGGCCTTAACTTGAAGTCACTGGGCATGAACCTCTGGGTCCCATTCAAGACTAGTCAGTTGCCTCAGGTGTTTTTCCTGGAAGGAAATGACTCAGAAGTGAATATTCTCAGGACACTCCAACAGACACAGCTGCTGCAGGCATCCTGGGACAGTCCCAAGCATTTCACTGATATCTTCCCGCTCCTGGAGTCACCTACAGTCTTCATGAAGACTGGCTCACAGCCAGGAATGCTCAATAGTATGTCCTGGGCTGGAAATTTAGCTCAGACAACTTTGAATTAATTTTAAAACATATCCTGAAACATACTAGGGGCAATACTGGGCCTTAAGATGACTTTCTTCTACCCTTCTATAATTCTATTTTTGTTTTTTTGAGACAGGGTCTCACTATGTACTTGAGATTGACCTGGAACTCACCATGTAGCCCAGGCTGGTCTCAAACGCACAGTGATCCAGTGTTGGGATTACAGGTGTGTGCCACCATGCCCAGCTTACCATTCTATAATTCTAAATAACTTTTTCTCAATTTTAATGCAGATATAAAGAAATCACAATTAGTCATTCAAATAAACCCTATAATATCTTCTAAAGGTTACTTTAGAGCTTTTCAACTATTAGAGTATGCTACATTTAAATAAAAATCTCATCTGTTGCAAGGATATTTTTCAATGTCTACTACCCATTTCTTCTCACTAACAACTCAGAATTTATTGATGGTAGTGACATATAGCTAAATTATATCATATTCCAGAATCCTTTGTAGCCAAGAGTCTTTCTTATGTCTTTCTTAGCCAGGGCAATGTAAGCCAAGTCTTGTAATCATTCTTCTTTCTTCCTGCCCAAAATGCTTGCTGGAGCTTAAGTAGCTATCTTGAAACCACAAAGAAAAGGCCAAGAGAATTCAAACTACTTAAACGTCTCACAATCCAAATTGTGATTTTGGAGAGCAATGCATCCATATTTATTTGCGCAAGTGGGCCAGGGATTTAGCTCAGTGGTTGCGCCACCTGCCTTGCAAGCACAAGGACCTGAATTCGATCCCCAGTACCAAAAAAAAAAAAAAAAAAAAAATTTACTTGCGCAAGAGTTTCTTAAATTTATTATACTTCAAAACACTAGGGGTTTTCACAAGTCTTTGAAAGTGTTAAAATTTTTTAAAAAATCTGTACATGGTTTCAATTTTGTTTTTAATTGTTGTTTTGCACTAGCAGTCAAACCCAGGGCCTTGCACACAAATGCTCTACCACTGAACTACATCTCCATCCTCAATGTGCACGTTATTTATATTCAGGGAGTTTCTATACGTCTCAGAGCCGCAGGAACAAAGGCAATAGCAATCTTGATTTCTCATGATGTAAGAAAGATTTCAGTAGTCAACTATACTGAAGTCAGGACGCAGTTGTTTACAGTCAATGGGAATTCATGAGTCACAATTTAGTTGTACTTCTATACTTTCTCTAATAGAGATTTACTTTTCATTTTACTATTTCTATTAAGTATCTTTAAACAAGTATTTAATATTTTTAGTATCTATCCATCTCATGTTGAAGTTTATCTGCATTCTGAAAATAGAAAATAACTAACAAAAACAAAAATAAACCTACCATTCAAAACTAAAACAGCTTCAGAAGCTCTGGTGCCTTCAAGCTTGTGTATTATTAACATTAACAGGCCTGGCTGGGGATTTAGCTCAGTGGTTCTGGTGCCTGCCTAGCAAGCACAAGGGCCCAAGTTTGATCCCTAGTACCAAAAAAACATTAACAGACCTGAGAGGCTAAATTCCTTAAGAAGAGAGCAATCAGCATAGCTACCAGCTTTTAGAATAGGAATGAACAAGTGCTATCTTTCTACTACTTCAATTTAAGGAGTAAATAAAAAGTTAAATATTGTTCCTCAATGAAATACATCCAGAATTTTTTTAACTTACACATGGTAAGTTTTAATATTTTCCCCAGAGTTGTTAATCTCCAAAGGAACTTAGTTAAACCAGGTCTGGTGGCACACACCTGTAATCCCAGCACTCCACTAGGAAGGCAGAGGCATGAGGACCACTGTGAGTTCAAGGCTAGCCTGGGCTACATAGAAATGAATTCTGGGCCAGTCTGAGGCACAAAGTGAGACCCTGTCTCAAAAAGCTGGG